CAGGGGTGGGAATGAGGGTGGGAAATGACCCTGTGGTTTTTAACTTCACCTATGAGCTATTTAAATGTTCATGGAAAGCAGCATTTGAGGTAAATGCATATAATTCCAAATGTACAATAGGATCCTTTCAAATACAGACATGTCTAGAAAGTTGTCTTAAATTTGTGTGCGGCAGCACACAAGCCTTATTCCATGCAACTTTACAGATCTCTGGGCTAATTCTAAAATGGAAACTGATTTCAGTTTGGACATCATTAGAATGTCTGAGAGACATTCAGCACCTCTAAGACTCTTCCTGGCTAGGTCCTGGATTTACTTAAGTTGTCCTTTATAGAAGTTCTCTAGATAAGTGCTGTCCAGTAGAAATTTCTGCAGTGGTGGAGGTGTTCTGTAATCTACATTGTCCAACACAATGGCCACTAGCCACATGAGGCTATTGAACATATGAATTGTGACTAAGGAACTAAATTGTAAATTTTATTTAATTTCAGTGAATTCAAATTTAAATGTTATAGCTACCTTTCTCACAGGTTACCGCCTCCTCACTCCTGCAAACTCTAAAAGGAATTATCATTGCATTTAGTGGTGGAGGCTGGTTGCAAGTGACACCATCAGCTTTTTGCTCTCATTTATTTATTCGTAGTGTAAATATTGCAAGGACGGTGTATGAATTCCTGGTAATATGGTAGTGAGCAAGACAGTGTGCTCTCATAGGGCTTATAGTCTAGTATGTGAAACATATATTAAGCTAATAATTACCCAAGTTGTTAATTGACTAAGACTGTGATGACTGTTAAAAAGGAGCAATGAAAGAGGCTATAAGAAATGGGGGCAATACCTTCTTGTGAGATTAGTCAGAAAGCTTAATCAGAATTCCAGTTATTCACTAAGCAAGAAAAGCACCTTCCCTTCCCCAAGTTCAAGGCTAGACCCAGGGATCTCAGAGTGGGGCAGCTAACATGTGCCATGCCGTGACCTCCAAAGATGTGGGGTCTGTTTGATTGAGCTTTCATGCATCCGCATATACTGCAAACTTCTGAACTTCATCAAGTAGATTCTTCTAAATTGTGCAGTTGTGATGATGTCAGTCACAGATAAGATGTGAGAAGAAGGGTGCAAATGTTTACAGGATATTGCATTTCCTCTCCAATATATGTTTTGACAAAGTTGTTTGAGTTCCAGCCCCAGCTTTTTTCCTCTCTGTTCTTACAAATTTGTATTTGGTCCATTCAAGAAACGATGTGGAAATCAGTCCTGACATTCCAGACAGACAAAATGAGACACATGACAGCAAAACATATGGCTCAAATAGACATCCTTATATGGCCAACACAGACCATATTCCCAGAAATCATATATGGAAAACACCACCTGCAACTAAAGCCAAAAAACAAAGAGTTGACATGATAAAAAGAGCAATATGCTACGTAAATTGTGCTGCTCTAAGAGTGTAGAGAGATAGCCAACTGTATTTGAATTTAAAAAGATGAAAAAAGAAAACAAAACATGTCCTTAGAAAGTGCTATGGTGGTAAGCATTGCTTTGCTAACACAGTCACTGGCGAAGTTGCCATATCTTAAAAGCGTTCAAATCCTAAATGCTTTCTCTGTTTATTACAAATGTACATGCTATTCAGAACTCTGAATGTGTTTTAATGCTTTCGGATATCTGCCTGCATATTTATCTTAATATGGTGCCATGTGAAATATGCAGTAGTCCTTTCATTATTAAATTTAAAAAAAAATCTTGTGTATCTTATACAATATTTTATCTTTGCTACCTTTGTGTAGCCAGTTTGAATGCCTTCTCATGTGATAAAAAATTGATGCACTCTGTTTTAACTGTACATCTGCATGTTAAATAGTTCATGTATTTGACCTGTAATATTTCATGTTCCTGAGGTTTTCTATTTTGATAGCTAGATTTATTAAGTTTAACTTTTTTTCTATACTTGCTTGTATCTTTATTGCCAAATATAAGAGGCCTGTATTAGAATAAATTGATGTTTTTCCCCTTCCAGCATAATAGTTTATCCTCACATATGCCTAGGAGGGTGGTATTTTCCTAATAATCCTTTTTCTTCTTTATTTTAACCTGGGTTTACATTGGCCAATGCTCTTTAGCATACTTGTTACAACAAGTGTGCTAAAGAGGGAGATACTGTATAATAAATAAGTTCATCAATGTAATGTACCACTTGGAGGACATAAACCTCCTTGTGTCATTTCTTAAATAGTTCTGAAATAAAGAATGTACTTGAAGGAAAATTAGTATATATATGTGTGTGTGTGTGTGTGTGTGTGTGTGTGTATGAGACTATGTACATAATTGTACTATATTGGTATTCTTTATAATAAAGTCATCATTAGAAGTCTCTATCATTTATTTTATCATTTTCCAAGGCCATGTCCATCCTTATATTCTGAGGTTGTGTTTAAGAATTCGCTTGTAATACCTGGATAAAAGGTGCTATTCAAATTTTAAAATTATTATTTTAATTCCCATTAGTTACGTCAGTATTGGCCAAATCATTAGGAGACTAAGGCAATCAGGATCTATTTGTCTTGTATTATTTGTGTAAATGATAGGATAAACATATATTTACAATATTCTATTCCATTGTGTTTTAAATTGACATATTCAGTAGCCCTTTTTAGTCTTCTTTTCTCTGCTCAGGTTCTGTATTATCCAATGACTTTCATTTCCTTTTTCCCCTTTTTTAAAAAAAAATACTTCACTTGAGCTTAAGTTGCATAAATAAATTTTGTTTTGTAGTCTACTATAGTTTTTTTATTTTCTAAAAATAGTATTTTCTAATGCTACTATTTGTAAATTTGCACAGTGTGATACCTAGAATGCACTGTTCCTACTGAAAACCAAGCAGGTTTCAGGGAAACACATCAGGCATCACCAGTTTGAAGCAACTCTTAATACATACATGTTGGAAATTCCTAATTTAACATATCATTGCAAAAATCATTGCCATAGAGATTATTGATGATAACTGGATATCTATTTTTTTTTTTAAATATCAAATATCTTCCTAAAATAAGCTTAAGTACTTCCATCCACAATACCAATTTGGACACCCTGCTACATTTTTGCCATGTTTGTGTTTTTCCTTATTGATTCTGTTTCTTATACTTCAATTAAAAAATCCTACTCCATATTTCCCCATGTTTCAGCTTTTTAAAATGTATCATTTGGGCTTTTTGGTTAAGATTGCCTTATATTTTCTTGTTTTTGATGTTGTGTTTTGTTTTATTATCACATGTTCTTCCTTTTGCTCAAGGCTTGGGTTTATATGTGCCAAGATTCACCGTTGCCTTCCTCGATTTTGACTAACCTTTCCGGTTTGTGGGTGAAACTTGGGTGCCATTAGAGTGAAATATTTTCATTGTGTTTCTCCCAAACTTGTTCTCCCCAGGATGCCATTATTTCCTATACTTTATCTCCCGCTTTACCTTCTGCTTTTCTTAGATTTCTAATGTAAACAGTGTCTCTAAGACTGTATTGGTAGCTTTAAAGAGCTTAATTTGCATATTTCCCTCTTATCTCTGTACTTGTGCTAACTTGTTGCTTTTTTATGTGTAACAAAATGTTTATCTGACTGATTTTTCTCTTTTCCCTACTAGTGTATTCTGAAAAATAATTCTTACAACATTTTTGTTTTTGTTTAATGATTAACTGCCTTCAGGGTTCTAAGATGTTAGTATTGAAACCCAAGCGGTAAACGCTGCATCTCTGTTGTGAAAGAGATTGTAATGTTCTTCACTTTTAGAGGAACTGTATGTAATAGATTATCTAAATAAGAGGATCATACTTCTGTGCTAATGACCATTAATCTAACTGGGTAACTTACCCTAGATTACAAAAGCATTTATTGCTACGACAGATGCATTTACCACCCCAAACTTTTCTTTCACCCGGTATAAATTAATTTAGGAATGGTGGCGTCTTCTCCTTTGTGATAACAAGTTACATCTCTTTCAAATGACCCAAATTTTGTTTGACTTGGCCACTATGGGCCACGTATTTCTTCCTCCAACGTGTTCTATGGCTCAGAAGTGAGAGAGTTTTGAACTGATTAGATACAGAAAGCTCTTATCTTTTTTTAATGTCGGCTCTTAATAGTTTGGGATTCAACCTTCTTTGAGGATAAATATTCGCGAGAGCTTTTCAGGGCCCCCGGCCTTTATTCCTGCGCAATGGTTTCTGTACCCTCCACTCTTCTCCGTAGAATCTACCTCCCGATTGTCCCCTTCAGCCACTTCCTGAAGTCCCCCTACCTCAGTACTCCGTGCCTGTCACCTGCACGCCCGGGCCCGTCTCCCGCGGGGCCAGGGCGCCCTCCCTGCCTGCCCTGTCCCTCGGGTGCCCGCCCGCGACGCTCCCGACATACTCCTTTTTGTGGCTTTTGCGCGCGTGGGTGGTTGGTTAGTTTTCCCCCCTGGCCCTCGCCCCCTCCTCCGTGGCACTTTCTCCCCCCGCCCCCCGCCAGTCTCGCCCCTCCTCCCGCCCGGCTCACTCTCGCACACCTGCCCCTGCCGTCCGCGCGCCGCGCGCTCCCCTCCCCGCCGAGGCGGCCGCTGCCAGGGAAGCCCCCTCTCCCCTCCCCTCCGCGCCCTCCCCGGCGCGCCTGGCGGCGGCCGGCGCTAGCCCTCGCGCGGCGCCCTGTTATTCTCGGTATTGTGTGTAATAAATGTCGGGCCGCCTCACTCTAATCAAGCTCATTACAAATTCTTGCGCGCCCGGGGCCGGAAATCGTGCGCTCCCCCCCACCCCTTCCCTCACTCATTCACTAGTTACTTGTCTTTCTGCTTTTTAACTCGCCGCCCCCGCCCCCTCCCCCAATCCCGGCCCTCCAGCCCGGGTTTTAATCCCCATCCCTATTCCGCCTTCTCCTTGCACCCTGCCCCCCCCCCCGCCGCCTTCCTCCTCCGCTCCGCACCCCCTTCCTCCTCCTCTCCCTCCCCCCTCCTCCTCCGCCGCCGCCGCCGCCACTTTCTCGCTCGCTCCCGCTCCCCGGACGCGGCGGATGAGCCGGCCCCGCTGGGGAAGGGCTCGGGGCGGCGGCGGGCGGCCGGGAGGAGGCTGCGTGCTCGGGGCTGGGGCTGCGAGCGGGGTGATTTTGTATTAAAATGAGGAGGAGGAAGAAGAGGCAGCCACAGCGGCGGCGGCGGCAGCAGCAGCAGCAGCAGCAGGAACAGCGGCGTAGAGGGCTGCAGCCCGGGCGGACGCGCGGAGCCGAGCTGGGCACGGCGGCGGCGGCGACAGCGGCCGGGATGAGTCAACTAATAATTTAATGGGGGCAGAGACGGCAGCGCGGGGGAGAGCGAGCGAGAGCGAGCGAGGGAGAGAGAGAGAGAGAAGCAGCCCCGTCCGGGGACTCGCGCTCACACGCACGCACACACACACAAACACACACACACACCTCTCCCTGTGCCACCCAGCAACAACCGGCCTCGTCACAACAACAGCAACAGCCGCCCTCTAGCCCAGCCCGGGGACCGAGCATAAAGCCGGGGCGACTCCAGAGGACGCTTCCCACCCCCCCTCTTGCATTTCGGGAAACTCCTCATCAGTTTTGTTGGGGTTTCTGGGTTTCTTTTCCCCCCAAGTCCTAGTGCCATTGTGGTGCTCGTTGTTTACCTCGGACTCTGGCTGAGTGAGAGCTTGGCGACTTTTTGGGGGGAGGGGGCGGGGAGTTTGTTGCTGCTGAGGCGGTGGAGGTGGCTGGGGGTGCCTTCTGATTCCCTCCCCCTCCCCCCAAACCCTCTTTCTCTTTCCCTACTCACTCGGCTCCCCAGGCGCTCGCAGCCCCGCGTCAATGGGCTGGGAGAGGGTCCTCGGGGCTGCTATAAGCGAGGGCCGAATCAAAAGTGGCATTTCAGTGCCTTTCCGGGGCTCTTTCCGCGACCTTCTGCTCCCCACCCTCGCTGTCCCCCGGTAGATGCCCTTGTTGGGGTTGCGAGGCTGTGGGAAGAAAGTTTAAGGTTTGTTAATAATTAGTCGCAATTGTTGGGGAGGGGGTGGGGGCGATTGGAAGGGAGGCGAGGTGGCCTTCCCCTCTCTGCGTTCTCCGGGGTTATTGGAGAATAATATTGCAAGTGACAGCCAGAAGTAGACTTTCTGTCCTCACACTGAAGAACCCGAGCGAGCAGGAGGGAGGGAGGGAGCGAGGGGACCTTTTTTTCCTTTCTGGAGACCTTGTCCGCAGTGATTTTTTTTTTTTTTTTCTTTTTAAGAGAATCTTCAGTCACCACCTCGCCTCCCCAGCATCACCACAGTGTACAGCTCATAACGGGTTTTGCTTTGTTTTTACGATTTTCCCCCCCAACGAATCACTTGTCAGATCAATTTTATCTTCTCCCTCCTCCCTACTTCCCACTCTCCCCTCCTCCCCCATCGAAAACCCGGTTTTCTGAGGTTAGACATTTTACAAACCATATATGTTGTTTTTCGAATTGTGATTTTTTTTTTTTTAACCCCCTCTCCCATGGCTACTCTTCTAGACGTTTATTTCTGCCCTTCCCCCGCTTAGGGGGGCGGGGGTAGGGGAAGAGAAAATAATACAATTTCAGGGGAAGTCGCCTTCAGGTCTGCTGCCTTTTTTTTTTTTTTTTTAAATTAAAAAAAAAAAAAAGGACATAGAAAACATCAGTCTTGAACTTCTCTTCAAGAACCCGGGCTGCAAAGGAAATCTCCTTTGTTTTTGTTATTTATATGCTGTCAAGTTTTGAAGTGGTGAGTTTCAGGTCGGTTTTGCTAATTTCACTCAGTAAAACTGCAGTGTTTCTGTTTCTAGATAGTACTTTGCTTCTTTGTCTCTTTAAAAGGTCACAGTGAAAGCTTGGCCTGGATCGTGCCGGCCATATGGAATGGATAAGGGCACAATCTCTTAAAATGTGATTATGGGGTTCTTTGGGGGTAAATGAGGCGATCCAGCAAGGAACTCGTTGAAAAAAATCCCACATTGCAAAAAATAGTTTGTCGAAACCGGAATTTCATGTTTTTCTTTTTCTTTTTGGAGGAAATAATAGCTGTATCTGAGTTCACTGTTTTATTCAAAAATTATCATAGATGGACTTGGTTTATGGACAGGGAAATGGGATTTTGAGAAAGTAGCCTGAATTCAGTGTGACAGCCAGACGTTACACTAAAATGCGTTTTAAAATGTGTAACTCAAAAGAAACTCTTCCGCTTGGCGTCTGTTGAGACCCTAGTTAGTTCCTGTACTCAGTCCAGCAGGCCCCTTGGAGGCTGCTCTTTCCAATACCAAACTGAGGTTTAGTGAACTTTAGCCTTGGGCATAGAGTTTAAATGAGTAAATTAGGTGTTTTATGTGCATGTAATTTTGCTTTATAATGTAAAGCTTTTTACAAGATGACTGAGTGTTTAATAGACTTTTATAGGTGGGTGTTGGAAGGATAATTTTGCATGACCTATATGATGTTTTGATTGTCAATACATTAACTAAATTATAATCTATCACTTTCATTTGCTGCACAGCTTATAATGCTGTTAAGCCTCATGACTACTTAATATGTTTTGTAGCATTAACTTTGATGCTGTTGTCTGCCGCCCCCCCCCCCCCTTTTTCTCAAATTGCCCCACGGGTTAAGTATTTTCTTTTCAAATCATATGTTTTAAAATTCATCTTCTGCTCTAGGGTAAGGCAACCAATTTCAGAAAAAGCAGCTCTGTATTATAATCCACATGAAACATTAGAAGCAGTGTTTTGAATAAGTTAATAATCACCGCTCTCTAATTTTGGCTTTAGACTGTAGTTTAATATAATGGAAAAGAGTAATCTTGATAAAAAGTGGTTAAAAGAGGCACATTTATTGTTAATGAACCTCATAACCAAAAACAGATGGGACCTCGATCAACGGTAAACCTTTAGTTCTCAGCGTGCCACCCTAGAGTACAAGGATAAATAGCTATTATTTCTCAAACTTTATAGTTCTTCATTTGGCATTCTTAAGGTTGCTTTTAAACCTACAGATTACCATTCTCCCCCCACCCCCATTCACCTCTTTTCTTGATTATAATAGACAAAGTAATCAATGGTTAAAGAGGGAAAAAATGCTTACAGAAAGGCCATGCTAATACAAGCTGGCTTTCAACAAACACAGATCTCAGTAGCTTCTTTGGTACAATAATTTTTTTTTTTTTAAAGTACAAGATATGTTGAATTACCAGACAGCTGGAGGAAAGTGGTAATTATTATACTTTCTTTGGCTTTCCTAAATATGATCCCCTCTCCCTTAGTATTGGTGAGTTCCATACTTAAAGTACTATGAAAGTTTATAAAATAATTCTGCTAAACCTGTTCTTATTAGTTCAATTAAAACTGCATTTTAGAAGTGACTTTGATATTGTATTAATTGCTTTGTTATACACAGTATGAAAATTGATGTCCAATGTATAATATAACTGAAAACAATTATCTGCTATGTTTTTTCTGAAGTCAATTAGGATGTTGACTTCATTGCATACCAAGATTATTTTTAAATGCTAATGACTGTGTTTTACCAAAATCATCAAGATTTTTTTTTTTAAAAGTAAATTTGGCTCTTCAATCTAGTATGTATATCACAAAGTATTTTCAAGTTTTTTGCTATTTAAATTGTTAATAGCATTCTATTACTAAGAGACACCTAAATATTAACACTAAAACATATAAGTTGTAATGCTTCAGCACCTGGGGTATTTGAAGAAATCCTCCATTTCTTTCAATTTTCTTAAGGTTGATGTGATCCAATCACATGTTTGAGCCAGGACCTGACTAGATCTTTAACAGGTCACGTAATTCTTAAAACTTAAGCAGTAGAAAACTTTCTGTGGATTAACCTGTAAAGCCAGTGAGGAGTTTAAAAAGCAGATATTTGCTACCTTGTTTTGAGGTGGTATATATAGATATATATATTTCTTCATAAAAATTAAACTATGTAAAAACGTAAACATGTACATCAGATTTAATTAATATTTTGGACTGTGATCATTTTCTTATTCTTGATTAAAGTGTTACTATTGTGTTCTTAATGAGTTTCTGATTTTTAAAAATTGGGACTACATAAATATGTTGTTTTCTTTTTAGCTATACTTGTGGTAATTCTTGTTCTAAAAGTAAGCCCATTTCCCCCAACTTAGTTTTGTTGGTAGGTGACAAATTACCTTTTTATTCTAATATGTGTAGCTACAGTTTCCACAAATTATTCTGTTAACTTGAATGGAAATGTAATACTGTTATCTGAAAACATAGTAACATCTGCAGTATATTATTTACTTAGTTAAGCAGTTTTACAAGTGTATTATATTTGTGGAGAGAAATAGCTAGGGATAAAATATTTACTTGGTGTATCATATATAATATATAGAGAGAGGGTGAGGGGGAGAGAGAGAGACCCCCCCCCCAATCCAATTATAACATGTCTTCTTTTTAAATTCTGGCAGGTGATCTTTAGAGGGTAACTGAGTATGGATCATTTGAACGAGGCAACTCAGGGGAAAGAACATTCAGAAATGTCTAACAATGTGAGCGATCCGAAGGGTCCACCAGCCAAGATCGCCCGCCTGGAGCAGAACGGGAGCCCGCTAGGAAGAGGAAGGCTTGGGAGTACAGGTGCAAAAATGCAGGGAGTGCCTTTAAAACACTCGGGCCATCTGATGAAAACGAACCTTAGGAAAGGTAAATACTTTCGAGCCAAATCCTGGAAAGCTACAAGCCCTTGTGTCTACTCAAGGCCACTTTGTGTGGGGGTGGAGAGGCAGAACATGTCTTTGTATGTTCTTTTCCTTGATTCTCTTGCTGATGTGAAGTTAGTTAATTCCAGGCTGCCGTGTCAGTCATGTTTGGAAAGTGTGGGCTCTGTGCTTGACCGGAACACCTTGCCCTGCTATAGAGTGGAATCATTAGATGTTTGGATGAGAAGGACTGAGTTAAATGTAATGGCCTTCATTATACAAGGCTTCCATTGATAAGGTGTCATTGTAGTAGAAGATACGTAGGTGGCTGTTGCTTAAACTAACCCCAATTAAGAATAAGGCACTTAGATTGTTTGAGGACTGCCTTAGGTTTTTGCAGAGGGTTACTAGCTAGCTGTAAATCATTTTCAGACATAATGGGAATCTTATGTGATATGATGTAAAAGTTTTGTGATGTCATTTTTTGTGTGGTTTGTTTTCTTAAGAGCAAATTTATTATTTAGCAGTGAAAAACCTGATGATTCTAGTTTTTGATTTTTGCTATGGTTGAGTATTTTTTGATAAAGGAAGGGCAGACTTAGGCAAGTTTATAAAGGAAAGATAGTAACTGTGTGACTCCTTTCTACCCATTTGATATTAAATTGATGAAGTTTAACAACTTTGACTGTGTTCAGCCTTGCTATTTATGTAGATCAGTGCCTATGCTGGGTATAACGTGTGTGTCTCATAATGGTCTTTATTTTGTCTCTGAATAACTGTGTTTGGGATTCAGATTTTTCCTTACATTCGCTAAGTGAAGGATAAAAATGCTGTCTTTTAGCAACCAAGAATATTAAGTAGATAAAGTTAGAAGGCAGAGGAATTTCATTGTGTTTGATGCATAACATTTATCATACAATCATTTATTTTTTTCTTGGTTTGCGAAAACAAAGAATATATTGATCCTGAAATGAACAGACACAGCAGTCCGTATTGTTAGATCTTTATCTATTAAAAATGGAAAAACAGCACTTCAGCAAATTCTTTGGCCTCTACTCATGATTACCCTATTTATTGATTGTTTGCCAAGAATGTATGCATCTTAAGAAAGCCAGGGTAAGAGCATTAAAAATATAATTTATTACAGCTTTTCAAACTGAGTGCATTAATATTGTACTGTGAAGCACTGGGGCTCTATAAAAAAGACTTTCTGACGCCTGCAAACATATAAGTTCCATAAATTCCTAAATAGGAGATTTCAGCTGTCTCTGGTATTATGTGATATTTGCACAGCAAACTTTAATGCCAGGACAGTTTTAGACAAGGATTCTACAGACTTCACTGCTCCTTATGGCAGACGTGCTGTTTACACAAGCTCATAAACCTTTAGCAAAAGCTTCTAAGACTGCCTCCAGGTTTAAATCATGTGGTATTTTTAGCATTCAGCAGTGACCAGTGCACTCCCCTTTTCATGCTGGAAGGTTATGAAGTTGCTGTAGTTGGAAGTCTCGCCAAACACTGGCACAAATAATCAGTTCAGAGAAGGCTCCTGTTCAGCATTGCTCGCAGGATCAGGAAGGCAAGGGTGACAAGTTTGCTAGAAGGCTTAGCAGCTAGATTTGTCATGAAATGATTCTCTTGTCACTTTATCAATAGCCACCTTAATTATCTATAGGGTATCTCTAAATAGAGTCCACAGTAAATCCAATATGTTTCAACAGTTTGCAAAACCTATAGTTATTTTCATAGATCTAGGGAGCATGTAGTAGAACACGTATGTATCATTCTGCAAGAGGAAAAATCAATGCATATGTTTTTGTTGTACTAACCCAACTCTTTGAAGCCATCAGAGCAGGGGGAGGAGAAACCAAAGTACAGTAATTTCACTTCCTGCTGAATTTTTTTTTTTAAACATTGCTTTCATAGTGACTTACTTTAAAAATATAGTTTAATTGTAGAAGGTTCTCAGCTTGCTTCAAACAACAAAATTACTAAAGCTTTTTGGTAGTGGTGATTGTGTGTGTGTGTGTTTAATCTTATTTTTCATGAGCATGGTTTCTGTTTGACAGGTGCTAGATAAAAATTGTGGCTGAGATGAGAAAGCCCTACTTAAGAAAAAGAGGTTGGGTGTTTTTGTTTATTTGTTTAGGAAATTTTGCCAAAGTACCTTCACGCCAAGGAAGAAATCACCAGTTTGCTCGTTGCTATTTTTGCTGTGGTCTTCCCAAGTCTTCTTCTGATCCCTGACAGGATCTCTCTCTGGTATAAAACAGATGAATGAATGACAAGAATATTGGCAAGCTCTGCGGCTTGTTTTTCATGCCTAGCCTGTTGGGTATCTACGAATGAGTTTGTGAGCTTTTCTAAGTAAACCTAAAGGGGTTTATTTGTCAGAGCTAGAATCTCTAGTGATCAGTTCACTAAGGCTTTGGTGAAGATGCACATGTAAAAAAATGTAGCTGCTTTACTGCCGGCTTTTGTTCAGCATAAACAAGAAAATAGAGCCTTTTTAAAGGGCATCCCTGGTGTCAGGAGGAAATCCTGATTTTGAGCTCGGGTTGGTATGCACTAGAAATCTCTAGAAGTTGGTAGGATTCTGTGAGTCCAGAGGGCAGAGCCTTATAGAGGCATTAATGTTATAGGACTAATTGGGGATCCTGGGTGCCCTGTTAAAGTAACCCTTGTCATCATTTATGCTAAAGATGATACCCTCCTGGCAGTTTGCCACAGTACAGTTCAGATGCATCTGCTTTTAACCCTTTTCCGTATATCACTGGAAGTCTGACAGTGTGCTGCATAAACACCTTGAGTACTACAGCATTCCGTGATTTCAGTTTCTAGAAGCCTCTTTTCTGACAGTGGTGTGGCCTGTGCTTATTAATCATCTGGCTACTAAGTTATTACACTGGATTAAAGTAAATAAAGAGAGAACACATCAGATCTATGCAGATTCCTTTATCCTAATATGTCATTCGGAGGCCACTTTCCTTTTCTCTCTTTCATAACATGCAACAAAGATTGTTCATTTTCAAGACCTTTGGTTGCTGTGATATCCTTTTAGTCAGGTGGATTAAATGAGTGGCCAATAAATAAATCTTATTTATTTACATGGGCACATATTGAAATCATATATTTTGGACATCAGTTTGGTTAAGTTTGGTGTTTCTTTTATGGAACTGTTAAGGAAAGATCTTCACAAAGGAAGAAAATGCTGAAAATGTTAGAGTCAGAGAGAATTTGGACACAAATAGGAGAAGTTTAATGTTAACAAAAGCATGTAGGAAGCGTGAAGGTGGGTTCTTCTGAAGACAACTGTAGTGAGTTACATTTGCACCCTGTATACCACTCACAGCAGATCAGACAAGACACTTCTCTCTCATCAGCATTATTATTTTGATCAAAAATGTAATTCTGCATTGATTGATTTTGGAAAATGCACTGCTGATATTCAAGCAGAGCCCAGGTTGTCTTAGGACCAAGTTCACATTCTATTTAACTATCCCTCTTACAACTTTAAACAATAAAAGAGTGTGTATATGTTTGTATGTGCGCGCTTGTATTTCTGTACCCTGTCTGCCTTGGAAACACAAGTCTCCCCTTCTCTCCCTGTTGGGAAGATTTATTTTCATGGTCGAGTTTTTCCTCCCCCCCAGATTGCATTTCTGAAGATTGTTGGTTTGCGTCTCTTTTTCTCCGTCTCTTGGATAGGAACCATGCTACCAGTTTTCTGCGTGGTGGAACATTATGAAAACGCCATTGAATACGATTGCAAGGAGGAGCATGCGGAATTTGTGTTGGTGAGAAAGGATATGCTTTTCAACCAGCTGATCGAAATGGCATTGCTGTCTCTGGGCTATTCGCATAGCTCTGCTGCCCAGGCCAAAGGTAAATAATGCATACGTGGGGTTGGAAAAATTGCTTGGCATCCTTTGTTTACTTTGCAGAGAAAGCCCTGAATATTTTTATTCAAAGAACTGTAGCCTGTGTGTTACATTGGTTCCTTATAGACTGTGAGTTTAAAAAATTGGCTTAATTCAGTTTGGTTTAGTTAACACACATTTTGCTCGTGTGGAATGTTGAGGTGGATTTTTTTTTTTAAATTACTTCGGCTGAATCATTAGTATGCTTATTGACCTTAATAATCTGCTCCACTGAGGACCCACAAGGAAGTGAGGAGCGTATTTGAGCAGATGGACTGTTGAGAGTCAATTTGCATTTATGACTGAATATCTAGTTCTGTTTCTTTTATTCTGTTTCTGATGGTTTTATGGGCTGTAAAGTATTTTTCAATGCTGATTCCCATTGCAATAGAGAATCTTATCTAAATCGTAAAGCCATTTAGAACTGGTTCAGCTATGTCTTATTAGAACTTCCTGTAAGTTAGGAAAATGTGGCCTATGCATGGGTTTTATTGATGGGCTTTTATTTCCAAAATAATAAACAACCCTACAGTCATTTACATAATTTCACAATTTGGAAAGCTAAGCTGTGAATATTTTCATTGACCTGCCTTTTAGAGGGAAGGGAATCATTCAGACAGAAATAACAATATTGCTTGTGGTGGGGGCCATAAAAAACACCACCACCACCACCTTCTCCTTGAAATATTATCTGAAAGGTAAAATATTTAGTGACATACTCTCTTTATCTGGAATAGGGCTAATCCAGGTTGGAAAGTGGAATCCAGTTCCACTGTCTTATGTGACAGATGCCCCTGATGCTACGGTAGCAGATATGCTTCAAGACGTGTATCATGTGGTCACATTGAAAATTCAGTTACACAGGTGAGTCGGGATGGCGGTTCTAGGGCAGAACGTTCAATGTGCCTGATCTTTTGAAATAAAGCATCTCTGGTCAGCCTTTGATTTTTATTTACTTTGTGTTTCAGAAAGGTTAATGCAAACTGATTTCATTACTTTATCCCTTCTGCTTAATTTTACTAACTTCAACGTATATTTAAAAGCAGCCTCTCCCCGCACCCCGCTCCCTTACCGCCCCCCCCCCACCAAATTTGTAGGTTTTGTGCAGGATATCAAAAGACAAGACTTTTTATATTTAGTCAATTAAATGATGCATTACAAGAAGGCATTTTACATAAAGTTTACTTAAGAGAAAAATATTTTTGCATATCATGAACAGTGCCATCTGTGTACATTTTGTGAAAGAATGCCTTATTCACTATTGCCGCAGTCTTATTTATTTATGTTTTTTTTTACCATTTTAATTCGTATGAACAGAGTCACGAACGGAAAACGGTTAATACGTTAGTGCTTTTCACGATGGCTCGTGAGAAAGCAGTACACCTTAAATTGTCTTCCCAAGCGCATCAGAGCAGGAAGGTAGAAGTAACATGAAAAAATAGCCACCACAGGCAGCTGATGTATAATTCATGCATCGATACAGCAGATGTGTTGTATAAAGTAATTAACTAATCGGAACAATCAGGAGACCGAGAGCAATCTCCAGATGCATCTGTTTGATGCGCAAAATGAAATCTGTCTGTCTTAAAGGAATGTTCTGCAGCGGGATGCAATCTTGTAATAATCCCCTTTCTAATCTATGTCTCGAATAGTTGCCCCAAACTAGAAGACTTGCCTCCCGAACAATGGTCGCACACCACAGTAAGGAATGCTCTGAAGGACTTACTGAAAGATATGAATCAGAGTTCGTTGGCCAAGGAGTGCCCCCTCTCACAGGTACTTAGCATAGCATGTAATGAATAATAAGCCATCCTGGGCGGCCCTGATTGGAGGTTTGATGGGGCTCCATAGTCTAAAGCAACTGGTATCTGAAGCAAGACTGTCAAAATTGCAGTGTCTTGACCACTGGTGACTTTAAGCAGTGTGCCTGATTTATTCTGAACAGAGTCTTTACACTTTTTCTCCCTTGGGGAAAAGAGTGAAGGAGAAACAGCTCAGCAGAAGACTGTGCTAGCTTGTTTTTCGATCCCTCTTCTGAGTGCTCTGAGCATGGAAGCTACATTCTCCTGAGGGCCCTTATTTAAGAAAGAGTAAAGGTGGTATAACTTCCAGGAACCTTTGGTGAGTGGGAAGGTCAGTGAGAGTGTTCATATAAAGCCTTCGCTGTGTTACTTCAATAAAATAAGGGGACAGTTTTGGGATGTTATGTTCATTACAAAAAGGGGGAGATAAGCATTTAGATTAAGCATTTATAAAAATAAGAAGTTTCTTCCCTGTAACTAAAGATTGAGTAGTTAGTTATTTTGGGAGATTTTGTCACCAGTTTTGTGGCATTGGTTTGGTTTACTTTTTTTGTTTTGCTTTTTGGTGGAATCTTTTTTTTTCCCCCCTCTGAGATTCCTGTCATATCATCAGAGACTCTTCAAACAAGACAAAGATTTATTATTATTGTACTTGATATTTTAGAATGAATTTTGGTGAAGCATAACTAAAACTCTAGATAGAGACTGCCCGTGTCTCTAAATTTAAAACCAAACATGATTTTTGATAATGCTCAGCTGATTTCACATAAAAAAGGGTGCTGTGAACCTGCTCTTAATGGGCTGCTTGTGTAGACACTACATAATTGTGTTAGAATGCCATCCCTCAGTGTCAAACCCAATGTGAGGTCATCCCATGATACAGTATAATTCGAGTACGATCTAACTAGATTTTTATCCCATTTTGAAGTTGTTCTTTTATTTTCAAGTTCAAAATGTAATTCTGAACGTTAGTCTATCAGTCACTTGAATGTGAACCATATGATTCTGCTATAAAGGTTTCTGCAACTGAGATATTCTCAAAATGTATTTCCAGTGTGATGGCTCCAGAGGGTACTAGTACCTTCAGAAGGAAGCTTTGTGGGCTTTTGTGCTGCTGTTTTATGGAAACTCCACGCATCTCAGGTTACAGACCATCAGCTTTACTTTGATATTTGTTAGCAGTTGTAGGAATAGACCAAATGAATTAGGGCTATAGTCAATTATGGCTCTCTATATTCTCTTCAGGTAGCCTGTAGCCGTATGTAAAGTATTTCCTATATTGCAAGTGTCAGTTTCTTGAAATTCAGGACAAACTCTTTTTGTCATTTTAGCTTATTTCCTTCTATCTTCCCTCTCTCACCCTTGGAGTAGAGAGGATGTGAATTTATAACCATTGAATAAAAGTAATTTAAATTAATTAAACACAGTTAAATCAATAGGATGGTATAATGAAGCAGGTGACTCTTATATCTGGGACTTTGGGTTTTGCAGACAACTTCAGATAATATGTCAGTTGGTTGCTAGCATTTGAAAATTTGAAATGTCCTAGAAATAAACTTTTTTTTTAAACTCAGAGTCAAAATACGCATAAACACCCAGTATAGGAATGCCATGTATGTACATGTTGCTAAATGTCCCATTGATGTTGGAAGTAAATTCAGGCAAAGATTTAGGGCATTTACTGTGAGCTGGAGAAGAGGATGCTAGTACGAGTATTTACTGATAGAAGCAATGAGAATTAATTGTTAAATCAGCCAGTAAACTCCACCTCACTATAGCTTCTAAATATAATTGTGAGTTTACTTAATGTTATCATGGGAAATGAATTGAATACAGACAATTATAACATTAAACAGAATGACAAAATGAAATTCGGGGCTTGGTTTTAGAGTCCTACATTGGTGAATTTCTGTAGAGAGGACTTTGGAGGAACGTGCGTCTGTGTGTAGCTGGAGACCCTGTGGTAATTGTTGAGCGGTGGAACTAGACTGGGACTTCAACATCAGTTATAATTACAGTTGTCCTTTCTTTAAAAAATATCTTTTGAAAAAACTTCAAGGAGTTTACCAGCGGCAACAAATATTTGAAATTAATTTAATGTTTAATATTATGAAAAAAAACTGCAACCTGTTCTATTAAATGAGTAAGCTATTTTATACTCTGCTGTGTCATCTTTCTTTCTTTCTCTAGAATGGGTTCATGAATCTTGATGCTCAATGCAGAGTGTTTTAATAATGAACTATTTTCCATTCGCTTATTTTCTTTTCTGTCATAAGTTATTAGTTAAAGAAGAGAAATCCAGGCTCTGTAAGACCTCAGCCCAAAATATATGCTGAGCTTGGCAGAACTACTCTTTCTTTCCCCCGTGACTGAGAGATAGTGATGAAGATGGCATTGTGAAAAAATGCCTAGGAAAAAAATATTGCCTCAGTCTTACACAAAACGGAACGTACCATCAAGAAATGCTAACTCTTAAGACTTGTTTTACTCCCCTGTGGAGTTTTGATTTATTCACTTGCGAATTTTGAACATACAATCTAGCACCCACATTTTGCTACACATAAGAGTTTTTAAAAATATGATAAAACACCTCAGCAGCACATAGGGCTATCGGGGCCCTTACTGTTAGGCTGAGCAGAATGTCCACCCTGCAGATCTCAGGTCAGCTCCCTTTACAGAGTAGAGGCTGGGGGAGAATTCCAGTGGGAATCCAGCATGAATGTGCCTGGGTTTGTGACAAGCCCAGCCTCCGGTGCTTTTAGAAGGACTGTCCACATTTTCAGGGCAGATGACCTTGGAATCTTAGAACTGAGCTGTATCCTACCCAGACTCCTCGTTGGACAGATGAAGGAGCCAGTGGCCCTGGAGATTAAAGTCAAAATGCTGGTCAGTGACTGACCCAAAAGTCCTTTCCCAATGAAAAATTTTAGAGTGTGTTGATTTTAAAATGAATACTTGCCAAAATTATCAGACATTCTGTCTGATAATATTTGGAAGGTTTTCTCCAGATGCAGGAGCTCCATTAGGGTACATGTGGCTTGACTTATAACTATGCCCTTATTTCTGTTACTGCTTTCCTAAGTCTTAAATCTGCCCCAATAGATTGACATCTATCTATTACGTTTTCATACCACGTGTTTATTTTTGTAAAAACCTGCTAAGACACAAACAGCTCCTTATGGATCTGAAGTTGGTCACTCTCTTGTTACTCTCACTTTTTTCAGTGGATGTGGTTGGATAAGGTGGGCGTTGTATTTTGAACTGCAAGTAAGGAGGAGAGAATAAACCTGGCTTGGGGACAAGAAAGCCTGTGGTCATGAGGACATTGAGAGTATGGATTCGGGAGGCAAATGGAGTTAAATAAAGTAAACATTTTGATTTACCATAAAGCATTTCATTTTCATTTTAGTTTTGTGTTAATTTTAAAGACTGAGCTTAAGAAGTGGATAAATATATATATGCAGTACAAGACTAGGTTCATTTTGTTGAAAGTATCATAAGTAAAAGGTCAGTTATAACTTCTCCCAGACTGATGTCTTTCTTCTAAAAATGTTTAGGTCAGATATTCCTGAGAAATTTTAATCTGCTATGTACATTTTCCTCACCCCTCCCCCTACCACACACGCACACACATGCACACGTTTGTTAAGGCACTGGGTCACTTTCTATTTCCTTTCTCACCTGGAGAAAAGTAGCTCCAGTCCCAAGCCCCACGTGAAGTAAGCGAGAATTGTTTTTATTTTCAAGCAGCAAAATATATATAAAATATATTTAGGTTTGAACATTCCATTTAGAAGTCACACTGAGTAAAGTAAAATCATTTTTCCTTTTCCTTTTCCCGACAGCATCTAAGGATATAATATATGTCAGACTTTTTATTAGGTATTGGCAAAACAGGTAAACCTCCCTGCCCTCCTGAAGCTTACCATTTAACCATGCTGATTCTACGATGTCCTTGCCATAGACATTTATTTAATAAACCCTGTGCTCTGTTGATCTGCAGTCTATATGATGCATAACACCAGAGCAACAATTTAAAAATCCCTACCAGTTATGCTATAAATATATGTTTTTTAAACTGCACTTTGCATTATTGTTTCATAATTTTTTAGACTGAAATAACATTTCGGAAAATTTTTAAATAAACATTAGTAATCACTTCTCTCGAGAATATCCATCATCGATATTCATATATTGTATTTCGTGTGAGAGTCTAACCCTATGAGATTTATTCACATATTCACATACTTACTCATTCAAAATATGTATTGACAGTTTGCTATGTGACAGGCATCCTATTTCCTATGTAGTATTAAGCATGATACACTTTAATAGTTGAAATAATAATAATTTTTATTTAGTGCTTCTGATGTATCATGGGCAAATTTATCACCCAAAGCAGTATATAGTTTGTATCCACTTCTAGGTTGAGGAAACCTGAGGCATAATGTGTTTAAAAAAGCCTTGTAGTTATACAGCTGGTAAAACAGAGGGGTGAGAATTCATGCCCAGAGCCTGTGAGCTTGGTCACATCCAGATGAAGGACTTTTTTTTTTTTTTTTTAAGGCTTTCTCAAAGTAATTTGATGTATTTTATAAAATACTTCCTTTTCCCGGAAGTAGTGGTAACTACTTACAGTTTTCCGATTGCATTTATTCTCACTGCTAAAATTTTTCTTTAGCATATGGGGTTTGATTCTGTTGTTTGTACAATGACTTGCTTTAAAAATGCCGTCACTTCATGCACCTAGTTTAGAGGTGAGAGGATAGTTCAGACCACGGGGTCTAATTTCTGGGATAATCTGGTATTTGGAAGGTTCCAAAAGGTTTGAGTTTAGCCTCACTGTGGCAGTCACTTCCTTCCCCATCCTGTCATATCCGTCTGGATCAGAAGGTATAATTCAGCTCCTAGCCCTTTGTTTTGAGCCCCAAGACAATATTAGGCATTTGCATTGGAAACAGTGGGCAGTTGAAT